AGGGATAGCCGGGGCGCGTGCAGAAACAAAATTAGTCTTAACATTAGTCTTACATATAACTTCACTCGTTTAACACGTATGACAGAAACATTGTAAGTTACGAGAACGAAAATTCTCCGCAAATAATCCTCTTAACATTACGAGAGCCGACCCTCTCGTAACTTTAATATTAAGTTGAAAATAACACATTTACACCTACGAATTACAGTTATAGTGATCATTATTTATAATATGAATAAAATGTGTGTTTTTTCTTGAAAAAAAACAGTCAAAATCATTAATATCATCTACCGCTAATAAAACAAACAATACATTTACAAATGGCGTATGGCATTTGTTCTCTTGTTTTTAAAGGGAATGCCAACGCTTGCCACGACTCCCGCCATCTCGCGTTATCAGTGTCGAATTTGTCTTGTTGTGGCAGAATAAATTCATGACCACGTCGTTTTTATCAAATATTATTTATATGTGGTTAGGCCATCATAATATGCATAAATTATGTGATGTAGCAATAAATGTGTATGAATTTGAATTTTGTGATCGATTCTCATCCAATCAGCAGCCTTGTGATGAAGTTATCGTAAGTTTTTCTAATAGCTGCGATGTGTTTCTGTCAACCGCTACTCTCGATAATTAACATTAGTCGTAAGTGTTATCTTAGCATTAACATTAGCATTAACTTCACGATGTTTCTGACAACGGCCCCAGAATCAGATCGCAGTTACATATGGCTGCACAGGCGGATAACCGTGTTTACTCTCTGAACACATTTCTTTCTAACACACCATGGAAACAACACACGACATGTGGAGTGTAAGCTAACACTTCTTTTCAAACTTATTTTTACCCCAACCGCTAAACACACTCTTCCCGACGCCCCGCTCTCCTGGTTTTGCTTACCCCTGTATCTACTCTTTTCTCCGTTCAACCCCTTTCTTCTTGTTCTCTCCTTCAACAACTCTAATTAACGAACGTGGTTGGCACGCTTCGTTACAGGCGTTGCGTTCGTACGTTCGTAGGAATGTCATACTCAAGAGATCCGAGTAAAATGAGATGGAAACATAAAAGCATTAGAACCCGACGCACCAGGAGAATCCGAACGCGGGCACGTTATCCTCGGCTAAACCGCCGATCTTGTTCAATTTCTCGATTAATTAGACGAGCACAACAAAAAACGCTATTGAGCGAATGAGCAAATAATCCGACCATCGCGTATCGACCACAGCGTGGCGCTAGTGCTTTGCTCTGAAACTTGATTTCGGCAGTCACGTGCTGATCGTTAGTGGCCAATCGCTTTACTTGTATGCAGCTTGATCGCGTTCGTCTCACTCTCAGCACCGATGGCAGATATTGTGCACGCTGCTGCCATGGCTGGACTGAAGTCTCGCTCTCAAACCTCCATGCGTCCGTAATTGGCGATTCCATATGTATTCACTCTTGCCGTGTGTCGCGCTCAATGCATAGCATTTAAAGGCGCGTTTCACACGGAACGGTTTTCGACGCCACGCGAACAATTAATTCAGGCGCCCGCTATGCATCGGAGCATTTTGAATGGACAAGAAAAATTAACCGGGGGTAATAAAACAGAGTGAACATAAGACAGGGATAGAGATAATTAGATCGAGAGGCGGAGAGAGAGTGAGAGAGAGGCAAAGAGAGAAGGAGAGAGCGGGGGTAGGAGGAAAGCGTAGGCGAGCGGAGGTAAAAGGAAGTGCCTTAAAGTATGATAATCTGTATTGAATGTAACTGGTTGCACCACGTGCGTCGAAATGGCAGAATGGGAATCAGAACCTAATTCAAGTGAATCTCGATTCGACCTGTATCTATTAGAACACAAATGCACATTGACGTGTATGAACTTTTGTGGAAGCGCATAATGATGAATTGGCAGTAGATGCTTTAAATATGGAGCCGTGGAATGACATAGGCTATATATATGTGAATGTTGAATAAACCATAATAAACTATAACATTCCTTGCACCAATATTGTTGTATTAAAAAATTCTGCGACCTAATAATGTTAACAAATCAACGCATCTTATTAAAAAAATTGTTTTAAAACGTATAAAAGAAATATGAGGCTCTATTATGTAGTATTGGCTATTTTTTATTGAACCAATCTACAAGCGATGTGCGTAGAAAACCGTTATTTATAATCTAATACTGCCCGGTTTTTTACTGAACCTTTATAAAGGGAAAAAGAGTTTTAAATCTTCAAGCCTATTATAGGCTACGATGATAGACCTTCTCGCATGCACAATAACAGGCAGGTTATCTGGTGGCACAACGCCAGACAAATTCCCTAAGATGGAGTAAGAGAGGCGTAAGGAAAGCGAATAATGGGGCGAGAAATGGTGATAGGATGAAAAAGAAGAGAGGCGAATAAAACTCTGGATATAATAAAGAGATGGGTGAATGAGACACTGACAGTGAAGCGAGAGAGAAAGAGGGAGATAGTGTGTGTGTGCGAGAGAGACAGCCAGTCAGAGAGAGAGAGAGAGAGAGAGAGAGATAGAGAGAGAGAGAGAGAGAGAGATAGAGAGAGAGATAGAGAGAGAGATAGAGAGAGAGATAGAGAGAGAGATAGAGAGAGAGAGAGAGAGAGAGAGAGAGAGAGAGATAGAGAGAGAGATAGAGAGAGAGAACGAGAGAGAAAGAGAGAGGAGAGAGAGAGAAAGAAAGAGAACGAGAAAGAGAAAGTGTGTGAGAGAGAGTGGGAGAGAGAGAAAAAAAGAAGAAAAGAAAGAGACGACATGCGTTCACTCCAGTCATACTGGATTATAGAGCACGACGCGTGCATTCAAAGTCAGGGATGCACTCGCAACATGAATTCCTCTCATACAAATCACCAGTCTGGCCGCTCACTGCTGAGTGCGGCCTAACCACTGCAGAGAGCAACATTAATAGCGCAAGTTTCGACTCGACCTACTTATCCTGAGCTCAGCGATAATAGCGACTCGCCTACCGCACAGATACTGACATTTGAGTTCTCTTGAACCGATCTTGATGTGTCCACAGAGCACTGTGGTTACTTAAAGTACGACATAAAGCGTGAATCCCGCTATACCATGCATTCACAAACACAAGACATAGTCGCACTCACACGGCGCATTTCGGTATCGACGCTAAGTCCCGATTCACTATAAGATGTATAAGATATGTTAGCGGAGATGGCAAGTCACGTTTTCGCGAGTTGGCCATTAGCGTTAAGGATATTGGCAATATAGTTGTAATCTAGGTTCGATGTACTAGTCTATATTATAACAAATTGTTATATAATTAACAATGTGTGTATGCCACATATATTTATATGTTATATTTCTGCCGCAGGTCAGCCAGCATCTTTGACAACATGAACGAAGCACAGATTTTTGACTATCTTCTACAGAGAGGTTACGATAAACGGGTGATGCCCAAACTTCCGTCAGGTAATCTCGAACACGTGTAAGCGAATATATCTCAGAAGCAGCAATATATTTCCCAATGATGTTGTCATATACACACAATTTTCCCTGAGCATTATCTAGAGGCCATAATAGAAAATAAATATTTAATAATTTTTAAATAAATAATGTTTAAAAAATAAATAAATAATAATAAATAAAATAATTTTCTATTATGGACTCTTGGCATTATAAACCACGGAATAGACCTTTTGACCTGTAATAGTATTCCAAGCAAGACGTTTGATGTTTAAAGTCGAGTAACCATATTACCAATCAGTGTTTGGCGTCAGTGTTGGCAGCAACGCATGGTTATTTTGAAATAGACGTGCACGTGAAATAAATTTTACTACTGAAAAGTTCTGCTTACGTTGCGTTCATCTCTTGAACACCTAGACTAGGAATAGCATCGCCACACTAGAAAAACTTGAAGGCATCTAGTAGTTTATTCCATCGTTAGTCTGTCCGCGTACTGTAGATTGCGCGTGCTAGGCGTAAGCTAATTCATAAATCTGCGTGCTCTCCACGGATCGTCACTCTATCTCTCTGCACGCGCGTGCGTTCAACACGCTCCCACGCCGAGCTTCGATTGTAGTTAATACTTCAATAAATCGCATCGTAACGCACTCGACCACTTTTCCACAATCATCTCGGCACCCCCAGGAGAGCCGTTTAGCCTGCGTCGCGCTATATAGCGGGCAGCGAAGCGGTGGAGGCGGCAATTAAGGCTCTGCTGGGAGGCTGCGACATTAGAAGTGGGGGTGGGGTGGGGTTCAACACACCTGCTCTCTGATGCTTTGTTTTAGATTTCTTTCCTGTGATATTCGTGGTCGATGCTGGCGCTTTTTTTAGGGTTCACTCTAGTGTTAGTTGTAGTAGAGTGATTAGTATAGATTAGTAGTAGTAGTGCTAGTACAAAGTAAGAAGTATAATGGTTTCTTTTACTAATTCGATAGGTGGCGCTGTGGTAGTTACCGTTGATCTATACGTCCGAAGCATATCGTCAGTTAACGAAATATCTATGGTAAGTGGCTGCCCGTAAAGATGACGATGATAATAATAGTAATGATAATAATAATAATAATAATAATAATAATAATAAAGGTAGGAACAACAGTTACTATAACAACAAAACGGTGGGGGTGTATGGAAGCGCTGTAAAATTAACCAGCGGGGTCCAGCTGCGCTTCTTAGTGCATCCGAGGGCAATTTATGGCTTCTTCTAGGGGTGAACAGTTGGTAAAATAGAAGTTTGAAGTTCTCGCGAATGCTTGCTTTTTCATTCGTTTTGTTGTTGTGTGTGTGTTGATTCGTGTACGGAGGCTGGAGGCGTTAGCCTGATGGCCCTCTATGATGATGACATCCATGATGAAGTCTAAGAAAGGTTCTCACCTTCTACGTCGCAAATGTGCCGCCATCGCCGCCCCCGATCCCGCCGACAATTACGTCATCGCGCTTACATTTATTCAACGAAAATAAAGAACAAAATAACTCGTTGCTTGTTTCTGAAATTGGCATCATTTACCGCCTAATATCGCCTAACACGTCTTCTGCGGTCGCCAACATTACTGATTGGCTTGATTACTTGAGTTGAATTACTCAGTTCTTGCTGATTTTTCTGCAGTTGTGTGTAGTAACGTGCTTGTAAGGATTTGTTTTTGGCAACTCCGTATGTGGAGTTTGTTTGTACTAGCTCTTGCAGATTATATTTACCGCGGGAGAAATTTCGTGCGTTTTCCTCGTAGTAAAAGAAGCAAAAGTGATTGAGCCAACCTAAATAAACATAAGTTGACAAGAACAACATGCGTGATTATGGCGTTAGAAAAACACGTACAGCGCTAAGTACGGCGTTACTAAAGCGAGGTACACGGCCGTGAACTTTCCCGCTGAGTGTAGAGCCTCAGCTGCCGAGTTAGTGGCTATAACATAACTGCAAGGCGCCATCCCATACTACGCAGTCAATATATCGTTAAAAACGGACTCGTTAAGTCAACGAGAAATACAACTAATTTAATTCATAAACTAGAGCACTCGGAGAGCGCAGACCTCCGCCAAGTACAGTGATGATGTCATTGTATGAGCGACATAGAGCTCATACATTGACCTGGTTTCACATTAGTACAGTAGATTAGAAAAAAATCGTTCAAATTGTGAAAAAAGTATGAAAATTGGTACACTT